CCACCAGGAGGCGCCTGAGGCATGGAGCAGTGGGGAAGATCAAAGGCAGTTTGTCCCTGATGCCATAAAGAGAAGGGCGGAGAAGTGGAAGCAACAGCTGCGGAGGCAGACCCATAAGAGATAATCAAGCCCAGGTGATTGTGGCTTGGCCCCTCCCAAGAGAGTATATAAGTGAGAACTTGGGAGGGGGCCTTTTGCAGGACACAATCGTTCGTAACAGTCTTGAGGAACTCTTGTCTGGTCTGTTTTGTATTTCTGTTCTGTTTTGTTTGGGTTGCTGCCAACCCTTCTGGCATGAGAGTGTTGTATGGGCTTTCAGACAACGGAGTTGTAATTCCTGTGATTAAAGAGTGGCAAATAGCCAAGCCTGTGTCTGCGTTACTGCGCCGGAGGGGGGGGGGTCAGAACACTATCCCTATGTTGATGCACCTCCAGGCTTCCTTGTATATATGAATACTGAATTTTCTTTATCAGTGCCTCTCAACCTTAGCAACTTTAAGTTGTGTGGGCTTCCATTCTGGGAGTGGATTCCACATAGCTTAAAGATGCTAAGGTTGAGAAGCACTGTACTCTATAAAGCCACAGTGGCTTTATAGAGTGCAGTACTGCAGGGTAGTTCTGCTGCCTGCAATTTGGCAGTTTGAATCTCATCAGACTCAAGGTTGACTCAGCCTTCCATCCTTCCAAGGTGGGTAAAATAAGGACCCAGATTGTTGGGGGCAAGAGGCTGACTCTGTAAAACTGCTTCGAGAGGACTGTAAAAGCACTGCAAAGCAGTATGGAACTCTAAGTGCTATTACTATAAGGAGGAGTCGATCGTCTACCTGTTAAATTTGACAGCGAGGCCCAAATCTGCAATGCAGCAGGTCCCGTTCCTTTTGATCAGAATGTTTTTGCTCTTCAGGTCTCTGTGAGCAATCGCAGGCTTGCCTTGGGTCCCATAGATTTCCGTGTGCAGGTGGCAGAGACCACACGCAGCAGAATAAGCCAGTTTCAGCAAAGCTCTGTTGTCCAGAGTGGTATACTGCAGGAAGTCGTACAAGGATCCCTTTTCGTGGTAATCGGTGATTAGGTAGAGATGAGTCCAAGATCCTGTGCCTTTTATGTCTGCTGCGATGAATCCTGCACAATTTAGAATAGAACGGGAGTTAAGTGCTTTCAATGAATCATTCAACAGAAAGCAAATTTAGAAATTAATAATGAATACATTAAAAAGCATTTTGGAGACACGAGGCAAGCTTCTTCACTCAGGTAGCTGTCAAACGAAGTCCAGTTATTCAGCTTTTAGGAGAAAAGCCAAATGTTGCCCATAGCAATGAGTGCTGATTCATTTTGAGACAGCTCATTTTCCCCATTTTTGAGTTTATGATTTAAGTTTTTCATCGCGGTGTTTCCAGGCTTCCTAATGTTAACAGTTAGGTGAAAAAAGTAGAAGATCCCACCTCCTATTGACATATCAAAATGTTATCTTCATTGAAACATTCAGAATTTTTTTCAACTATGCATCTTTTGAGGGATTTCTTGCATGCAGTCTCTTTTAAATAACTAGGGGATTTAAATTCAATGGGATTTAAATCAGGGATTTGATGTGGCCGCCGGAGACTTTTCTCTCTCTCTCTCATTCTCTCTCTCTCTTTTCTTTCTTTCTCTCTCTTTCCTTCCTTCCTCTCTTTTTCCCTTTCCTTTTTTCCCCTCTTTTTCCTTTCTGTTCTTTTTTCAACCGTTCCTTAATAGATTTATTGAAAGGTTTAGTGTCCTTGTCATGTTGCACTTGATTTTTAATTTTAGATATCTGAGTTAGTGATAAATGTAGGAGCGTGCTTACTTTTTCCAGGTGAAATTTGCAGTTATGTTTATTTAAATTACAGAACGCAAATTGTAAATGTTGCATGACCTTCTATTACATTACATTCCCTTTTTCAATAGGATTGAAAATAAGAACTAACACTTATATGCATAGTAAGTTGAAAAGCTAAAAAAATTGTAAATGTACTTGCTTTCCCCCCCAACAAGATTGTACAGAAATGGCACACTCTACTGGCTGCAAATCCAATGGAATAAATTGGCTTACTCTGAATTTTAGGAATATAGCAGGCGATACTAGGGAATTTCATCTCATCCAAGTGTTGTGGCTTCTAGGTTCTCATAGCATTCTGGTGACTCTCATAACCAGAAGGCAACAGGATTTTCTTGTGTTTTTTCCTCTTGAAAACATTTTGCTTCTCATCCAAGAAGCTTCTTCAGTTCAGTTCTTCAGAACTGAAGATAATGTTTTCAAGGGGACAAAGTCCAGTTGTCTTTTGGAAAAGCAAATTTGGAGCAACCATAACCTGGATGATTGAGAATCTCCATAGACATTTCATAACTGGAAGAGCCCACCCAGAGCTCCATTCTGTTTTCGGTGTAAGATGAGAAGATATGGTTGATTGAAAGATTTTTGTGGCCCGCCAGCAGATCTGGCAACGGATTCAGACAGTGAAGAAGTTGGGGAGGAACATGGGCTAGTCCTGGAGTCTGGGGAAGGCTCTGATGAGGGCTCTGTGTCGGAGGCAGAGAGGGAGCCAGGGCCATCAAACAGTTATAAGCTGCCTTCAGAGTCAGACATCAGTGAGGCAGATGAACAGCTAGAGCTTGTTCCCAGTATGCGCATGCGCAGAGTTGCCAGACGAAGGGAACAGCTAAAGAATAGGGGTCAACTTGGGAGTAAGGCCATAGGTGGAAGATGAATGACCCCTCCCAGGAGAAATAAAAGGAGCGAAGGGGGAGTGGAGTTTGCAGGAGACAATTATTCGCTTAATCCGCCTCTCGTCCCAGAGTGTATGGTACGAATGGCCTGCTGGGGAGAACGGGGGCCGCGGGAGGGGAGGAGGGGTCTACGGGGATGGGGTCGGGCCGAAGCATCCTGGTCATGTTTGGGAGAGGCAGGTACGACGGGAGTTACAGGGCTAGCCATTACCAGGGAAGGAAGGTTCGCTACGTCACAGCGATCCCTCCTTCCAGCCCTGATAGCTCAACTCAAGAACCGGGTGGCAAGAGATGTCAGGGCCCTGGTCTCAGGTTGCTGTTGCTAAATGCCAGGTCTGTGATTCATAAAGCTCCCCTCGTCCGGGACTTAATATAAGACGAGGGGGCAGACCTGGCATGTATTACTGAAACCTGGCTGGGCCACGAGGGAGGAATCCCCCTCTCAGTAATGTGCCCAGAAGGGTTTCAGGTGCTCCACCAATTGCAACACCAGAGAAAGGGGTGGGGGAGTGGCAGCCATCAGAGTCATTAGTCCCTCGTAGGATCCCTCCTCCGGAGAATGTCGGGTGTGAGTCCCTTCTGGTGAAGTTGGACCAGAGAGGGTCCGCAACTTGTGTGTCCTCCTGGATTCGCAGCTAATGTTAGAACACCACCTGTTGGCTGTGACCAGGGGGGCTTTTGCCCAGGTTCGCCTGGTGCACCAGT